GATTAAAGGCGTGCGCCACCTCGGCCCAGCATACCTATGAAATGTTAAAGAGCCCGTCTCTCCTGGTGCCTCTGGTGTTAGTGGTCCTGGGTTAATGTAGAAACGCTGCTCTTGATAATTTCTGCTTTTGCTCTCTACTTCTGATTTACTCTAAGTTACCACTGTAAGGTCTCTGGTTTTCTAGCAATAACAAGACAGCTAAATGCTACAATGGCCCTTGAATTTTTAGCACCCCCTCCCTCAATCCTGAGTGATGATACATTCCCTCCCTTCCTTGTTCCAAAGGAAGCACGGTGTGTGGGGTGGAGTGGGGATGAGTTGATGGGAGGGTGGGGATCCTAGCGGCCATTTAACTTCTCTGTGCCTGCCTCCCACAGGCAAAGTACAAATGACAGAAGAACCTGTTTTATAGGGCTATCAAAAGGATCATGCTGTGCCTGGCTCAAGGTAAACACTAGGAGACAGTGTTGGCAATCAGACAAGCAGACAGAAAGCAGGCAGTGATCCACGTCTCTCAAATGGGATTATTCTTTGGTGTTACAGAGCTGGACCCAAGGCCTTACACATGCTAGCCGATGTTGTACCACTGGGCTATACCCCAACCCAACGTGACAGAATTACTGCAAAGTAAGGCAACAAAGAATAGAAATGACACTCTAAGTGAAGCTCTATATGCTGCAAGTTGAAAGTGACCTCCTGAACACCGGAACTCTCAATCGGAGCCCATCACGAAGGCCCCTTATTCTTCCAGCCCAGCTACGAGAAACAGGTGCAGCCTAGGTGTCTACCGGTACCCACCTTGGATAGTGAGAGCTGCAGAGTCTTGCACACCAGGGCAGCTGAAGCCTACCAGGGCTCCACTGTCCTGGTGCCTGACAGCTTGCAGGATGAGTCTGTGCTGCAAACCCTTCTGCTCCACCCGGTAGCGCAGGGCTCCAGGCTCCACCTGGCCTTCCGTCTCAGTGCTCTTGAGCTGTTCCCCATTAAGGAACCAAGTGCCCTGGATGATGGTGGACAGATCAAGGGAGAAGACGGCATCTTCCCCATCATACACCTGCACATCCTCCAGGCCTGACACCAGGCGAGCTGTGGGTACTGGGACAGGGAGAGACAGGGTATGGCTGTTAGAACCAGAAAGGGCCAGAGAGGACAGAAGCTGGCAGATGGAAGAACACCATTAGTCAGAGGGTCAGAGAAGGGAGGACATGACCCGGGGTACAGACACTGACGGGCAAAGGATTAACTTACCGAGGTGAGCGGAGCCATTGAACACGACATGGGGACTGCGGCCATGTTCACTGACTGTGCAGATGCGAAAGCGGTAGTCACCCTCGGCAGGTACACAGTCCCCTGGCACCTCTACGGCTCCGGCTTTCTCAATGCTGAAGCACTGGACCCAATCTTCAGACCCAACTTCCTGCCGCTCTAGGCGGTAGATGAAGGACGTCTCTGGGGGCGGCTCGGGGGGTTTCCAGGTCAGCAGGACTGTGTTCTTTTGGCCTTTGAACATCTCAACCAATACGGGGGGCCCAGGAGGACTGTGCTTGACACCTGGGACAAAGGCGAGATTCTCACTTGAGCCCTGCACAAGCCCCCAACAACATTTCCGCTTTAAACCCACTTTGCCAACCCAGGACCCAGACAGTGGCTACCCTCCTGCCCTGATCCTGCTGTTTACGGGGCTCAGTGCTCTCACATTTGACTCTGAGCAGGGTGGTGGTACGAGAGTTGCCCAGGCTGAAGGTGATCTCGCCAGCATCTTCTCGGGTCACCCCTGGAAGGACCAGGGCATGCATGTGACCACAACTGCTCTGGCAGGTGGCTGGCAGCTCCTCCCCGTCGTGGCTCCAGCACCCCTGGACCCCAGCTTCTCGGGTCTCCACCAGCAGCACGGCATTCTCTCCCTCCAGGACATCAAGCTTCCGGGGTAAGCGCTTCAAGATGGGTCCTGAGAGGCGGGCGGGAACCCATCAGCCCAGGATCTAGACACCACCGGCCTCAGCCTCCTCCCACTGGCCAGCTGACCTTTGACTGTCACATTGGCCACCGTGCGCACTCGACCCCGCATCTCGCACAGGTAGACGCCATCATCGTCTGCCTTCAGCCTGTGGATGATGAGGCGCCTCACGGTGCCCTCCTCGATCTGCTCGTACTTGCGGCAAGGCAACAGGCGTTGGTCCTCTCGGAACCAGGCCGTGGGGATTCGGGAATTGGGAACTTTACACTCCAGCACCACAATCCCATGCTCTCGGCCCTCCACATCCTGGAGGGGCCTTGTGAACCGGAGGCGGGGCTCTGTAGAATAGAGGAGAGCCAGAGAAGGCTCAGAAGAAGCTAGCTGAGGAGGACTGGTAACATACATTACTTGCTCTTCCCAGAAGGAGGATGGCAGCCAAATTCCCAGCAGAGTTAGATGGCCTGATTTCCAGCGTGACCCTGATGCTCAGCAGTTAGGTCACCTTGAGCACCACAGTTTGCTTGTGTGTTAAATGGGAGAGGGAGGGCATAGCTGAGCCAGATCAGTGAACTTTCAAACTCTTCCCTAACTCTCCAACTTTCCCCTAATTCTGCAAGGGTCTGCGTTGAATTTTACCTTAATAGCACTCTAAGCTTTGCAAAAGCCTATTTCAGAAATAGGAAACCACCAGGGAGGTAAGTTGTGCTGGGGAAACAAGTTTTTGTGCCCCTTGGAGAAGTTCCCTTACTTTCTTGAGGGTAGTCCACTTCTGCACTGGCCTGCAAAGTTTGGGCACATTGAGTTGTGCCCGTGAGGACACTGCCACAGCTCAGGTACCACACACTTGGTTACGTGCCAGGCAGGACTCAAGGGAACTTCTCAACATGTTTCCCTTGGAAGGAGAAGCTTAGGCACAACCAGTGACAGAGTAATCCCTCGAGCCGGGATCAAATCCTATTAGGGAGAACTTCAGCTTCCAGGGTGACTTTAGAGCGTGTTTTGTTTTCTCTGCCTTTTCTGTTCATGAGTACTGAAACCATGTTAGGTAGTCCCCCCCCCTTTGCTTTCATCTTCTTTCAAACGTAAACAAATTAATGAAAGAATAGAGATTGCCCGGGAACTTTTCCTCTAGCAAGTTTATCTCCCCTGTGAAGGAGCAGTTGCACCAGCGAGGTTTGCACGGGGCCTTCCCAACAGATTCAGGGCCTGAAGCTGTGAACACAACCTCCACTCCAAATGTGTGTTTTCAGTACAGCAGCTCCCTTGTTCTCATTGACTGGCACGTTACTAATTTAGCCTTGGTTATTTACACCCATAAAAAGCTCCTTTTATCTTTGACCGATGGGAATCCAGTTGGGAAAGGATGCCTAAAAGAGCAAAGGATGGCAGAGTAGGCCTGGGAAGTTTACACATAGTCATCTATTCCTAAATTTAGTGGTTTTCAACATCTGCCTGGGTAGTGTGCTAAGAATTTCAGAAGTGTACTGGAGACGTCTAAATCCGCACCCCTGAGGGTGGGAGGCAGGTAAGAAATGGGAATTCAATATTCCCCCAGTACACGGAGGTGGACAAGAGCTAGGAGGACCTCTGAGAACACTGGGGGGGGGGGGGGTGCGCAGCGCTCTACCTTTCACGTGCAGCTGGACTGCGCTGAGTGTCTGGCCAGCCGAGTTGCGCGCTGCGCACACATAGAGCCCACGGTCTTTGGCCTGGCAGTAGAGCACCTTAAGTACAAAGCCACCGTCGCGGTCGCGGTACATGAGGCGGCGGCGGTCGGGGAGCAGAGGACGGCCCTCCCAGTGCCATTCGATCTCGGGCTCCGGCTTGCCCATCACGTAGCAGCGGAACTTGGCATGCTTGCCCTCGTTCACCCAGAAGGTCTTGGGTGCGCACTTGAGAGGCTCCACTACGGGTACCGGGGGCTCATCCGGGTCCTGGGGCGGGCTCTCGTGGGGCTGGTGCACCTGGAGCAGCGCACCGGCCTGCGCGTGACCGTGCGCGTTGCGGGCGTGGCACACGTACACCCCGGAATCGGGCAGCCGGGCAGCCTGGATCCGCAGCGTCAGGCTCGCACCCCGGCCACCCGCGCCGCTGCCCGGCTCCAGCGCGAAGTGGCTGCTGTCCCACACTTCGTCCAAGGCCATCCCATCCTTCTCCCAGTACAGCTTGGGCTCCGGGAGGCCTCCCACCTGGCACGTCAGCACCACCTCCGCCCCGCGCAACACCCACTGGGATTGGGGCCCTGTTAGGAACACCGGGGCGCTCTCCCCGGTGCCCGGGGGCGGAAGCGGGTGATCAGAGGGCTGGGGCTCCGGCTCTGGAGCGGGGGGCTCCAGCACGGTCACGGCGGCCGCTGCGTAGGCCTCTCCGGCCGCGTTGCGGGCGCGGCACACGTAGACCCCGGCGTCGGTGGGCAGAGCGCCGCTCAGCAGCAGGCTGTGCTCGGCGCCGTCCTCCGGGAAGCTCAGGCGCTCCGAGGCCACCAGCTGCTGCCCGCCTTTCTCCCACAAGACAGTGGGCGGCGGCTCCCCCAGGACCACGCATTTGAGCTCGGCCTCGGCGCCACTTACCACCCGCACGGGCCGCGGGAAGCGCAGGAAACATGGGGGGCTTCCCTGATCCCCTGAGTCAGCCTTCATCGCGGCCGCAGCAGATGGCCCGCCTAGGCGCGCGGGAAGGCCGGGAGCCGAGGTCGGAGCGTGGTGGAGCAAGCACTGGGACCCGTGGAACTCCGGTGCCCGCCCGCCTCCTTTTCCTCGACCCGAGCTGCAGCCCTGCTGCGCGGCGATTCCCGGGCCCGGAGCCCAGAACTCAGGGGGCAGTCCTTCCTGTTTGCTTGTGCAGCGAGGGGCCCTGGAGCCTAGTCTGCCCGCGGCCTGGCTTCCTGCTCTCAGAAGCCTCTCTTCCCAGCCCCCTCCCACAGCCTGGGCCTCTTTCCCCTCCTCCCTCCCACCTCCAGCCGCCAGGTCCCCAACTGCCGGCCAGGCTTGGGCCTGAGTGCCTGAGGCGCCTGCAGCTGCCAATCCCAAAAATATTCTCTGATGACACAGCTGGAGGACAAGAGCCCAGACTGGTTCCTCCAGGCTAAGTATAGAGCAGGCGGGACCACCTGCCCTCGGCCCAGACCTCCAGACCCAGGGCTTCCCTCCCACGTTGGTCCTAGCAGTTGTGTGGTTGAAAGGGGCCCCAGAAAGTCTGAGGGGGTTGGTGCATTCTGTTTTCTTGGCAAATGACACTTTCAGGAACTCATGACTTAACTCAACCTTAGCACCCAGGCACCTGTGGTATCTGATAACCTGATGTCCTGCCCTGATGTCGACTCTCAATCGTGTGTGTGTGTGTGTGTGTGTGTGTGTGTGTGAGAGAGAGAGAGAGAGAGACAGACAGACAGACAGACAGACAGAGACAGAGAGAGGTTGTATGCTTGCATGAATGGGTCAGGTCACTTGGGGTGAACACCCTCCACAGCCCCTTTCCCCACATTCTTGGCGGGAGTGGGAGATAAGGCTCAGGGCCACAGACATCTGCGTCAGAGATAGGAGGTCTCAATGCCATGGGCATGGGCAACTGGACTTGTAGGGCGTGGGAAGGACTGGGGGAGACTGGGGTGTGAAGGGTAGAAGAAGGCAGGCAGTGGGATGGGTAGGGGAGAGTGGGGAGGTCCTGGACAGAAGGGACACAGGACAGGGCGTGGGTTCCCTGTTGTCAGTACCAGGTGAACTATGGTGATCCCGCCATCTCTGCTGCTCCTTTTGCTCTTGACCCTACGGGATGGGGACAGCTGTCAGGGCCCAGAACTGGTGCGGGAACTTGTCCTGGCCAAGGTGAAGGCTCTGATCCTAGATTCCTTGGGGCCCCCAGCAATGACTGGGGAAGGTGGGAGCCCTGAAATAAGGCGTCTGCCACGAAGACACGCCCTTGGGAACCTCGAGCACAGGACCTCTGAACCAGAGGAGGAGGATGTCTCTCAGGCCATCCTTTTCCCAGCCACAGGTAATGACGCTGAGGACTGGCAGATCAATTTTGGAAAGTAGCTGGTACCCATCTCATGGGCCTGGGAGCCAGGCAGATTTTGGGTGTGAATGGCAGCCCCAGCACTCAGCTGGCTTTGCAGCAAGGAGACAGTTCCTAAGCTTCCCTGGTCGTCATCAAATGGGTGGTGGTCTCTACTCAGGCTGGAGAGACCCAGTGGGCCTGGCTCAACTGGAATATGAAAGGGAAGATAAGGCTCTATGGAGATAGAGCTCAGGCTCCTGTCTACTTTCTGCCCTCTCTCTCTCTCTCTCTCTCTCTCTCTCTCCCTCCCTCACACACACACACACAACCTCACAACCTGTTTCATTAGCTGTAGGCAGTTGGGACTCGAGAGGGGTCTCGGATGCAGCAGAATGCTTAGCCGTATTCCGGGGAGTCTCTCATCCCTGTGTGTGTTTCCCTTATCCCTATGACTAGAAGAGTAAAGTCCTCCCACTGGGCTCCCTTCTCATCTGGCCCACTGTTCTTTTACAGAGGTTCCTTTGCTTCTCTCCCTTTGGCCCCTGATGGCAGACTAGGGAAAAGTAAGGATTTCAGATCAAGTGGAATCCCAGCTTGGCCGCATAATAGCTGACTGCCAGCCACATCATGGCTCTAGCCTCAGTGTCTTGTCTGAAAATTGAAACAATTGTTAGAATTTATAATGAGAAGCTATGTGCTAGTGCAGCCCCGGCTGTCAGTCTTTTGATGACAGTTGGCCCATAATATTTACTGTAGCCTGCGTGTATTTTGGGGCAGGAATGCCAGCTGCTCTTCCCTGAGAAGGACTGGCTTTCTTCCATTCTATTCTCCTTTACATTCTGTTCTTTCTCTTTTCCCTCCCCGTGCCTCCTCCACTTTCTTTTGTTGTTCTTCTATTTGATTATGCATCCACACGCATATGTGTGTGAAGACCAGAGTTTGTCCCTGGATGTCTCCCTCCGTCACGTTCCACCTCAGTTTTTGAGACAGCCCTTCACCGAACGGAGCTCACAGATGAGACTGACTGGCCAACAAGCACCGAGTCTCTACCTCCTCCTTACTGATAGAGACCACAGGGGTTCAGCTTCCTACGTGGGTGCCGGGGATTGAACTCAGGTCCTGATGCTCAGGCAGCAAGTGTCTTAGCATATGAGCTCACTTGCTAAGGATCTCCCAACTCTGTAAACTGTCTTTAAAAATATAATTATTTTAGGGAATTTGTCATATAAGATTTCTGACATGCCAGGAGATATCAAAAGCAACATAAACACACATCCATACACACAAGATAATCACTATGTTAATCTGGTGAACACTAACATATGCCTTTTCAGTGGATCTGAGGATGAAGTAGAGCAACAAGTGCTCTTACACCTGGATGTTTATAATAATTGGTAAACTGCCTAGGAGAGAGATTGCCAATGTCTTGTTTTGATGATGAATAGAAAATTGGGGAGCCTCTGCCGGTTTTCTCAAGACTCCAGAGAGTGTCTGGGTCTAGACACTCAGCAGTGTTTGACACACAATCGGCACTGAGGGATAGCCTCATTCTTCTCATGGAGGTGGAGGTGTTTCCAGTCCTACAGGTCAAGGTTGCCCTCTCTTTACCCTTCTGTCCCCTACAGGTGCCACCTGTGAGGACCAGCCAGCTGCTGGAGAGTTTGCCCGGGAGGCTGGAGAAGGTCTCTTCACTTATGTATTCCGGCCATCCCAACACGTGCGCAGCCACCAGGTGACTTCAGCCCAGCTCTGGTTCCACACCGGGCTAGACAGGAAGAACACAGTGGCCTCCAACAGTTCCGGGACCCTGCTAGACCTGCTGGTGCTGTCACCTGGGGGGCCCATGGCTGTGCCTGTGTCCTTGGGACAGAGTCCTCCTCGCTGGGCAGTACTGCACCTGGCAGCCTCCGCTCTCCCTCTGCTGACCCACCCAGTTCTAGCATTGATGCTTCGATGCCCTCTCTGTTCCTGCTCAGCCCAGCCAGAGACCACGCCTTTCCTGGTGGCTCACACCCGGGCTAGACCACCCAGCGCAGGAAAGAGGGCCCGACGTTCAACCCCCTCAATGCCTCGGCCTTGGTCTCCTGCCGCTTTGCAGCTGCTGCAGAGGCCTTCAGAGGAAGCCGCTGCCCATGCCTATTGCCATCGAGCTGCACTCAACATCTCCTTCCAGGAGCTGGGCTGGGACCGCTGGATCGTGCATCCTCCCAGTTTCATCTTCCACTACTGCCATGGTAGCTGTGGGGTGCCCACATCTGACCTGCCCCTGCCAGCCCCTGAGGTTCCCCCTACCTCTGCTCAGCCCCTATTTTTGGTGCCAGGGGCCAAGCCCTGTTGTGCTGCTCTACCAGGGAGCATGAGATCCCTACGTGTCCGAACCACCTCAGATGGAGGTTACTCTTTCAAGTATGAGATGGTACCCAACCTTATTACACAACACTGTGCTTGTATGTAAAAGCATCTTGTTTCCTCACTCCACAGCCGATAGCCACCAGCATCCCACCATCATCAGCTAGGAGGAAAGCAGGGTGTGGAAAATAGAAAATTTCCACATCTTCCCTACATGTTTCCATCTGAGGGCTCCATACCCTATTCCACCCCAATCCCTTGGGTAACAATAAAGAAGTGTGTGTGTGTGACTTTGCATGCATTCTCAGGCTTGTTTGATATGGGGTTGAGGACCTCTGGAGTCAGAATAGCAGTGTGGGATTTTGGGTTACTCAGCTACATTTAGATTTGAGGGATCTATCGTCTAAGAAGGTAAAATTAGGTGTGAATTTGTCAGGAAGCTGCCAGGTATCCCGGAGCTCTTTTACACCCACTCTAGGGACAAAATTGTCCTTTTACAAAATGAGCTTGATATGTCTGTCACACAGTGAGCGGGTCTTGCCACACCTAAAAGAAACTTTCACCATCACCGGGGCTTCATCCAAGGCTATTGTAGCCCCCACTATGGCTATGATAGCAGCTGTTCTCCACTCTCGCTCACTGGTCTATAACTCTAGGTCGGGGATTCATCGCCTAGGCAGAAACTGTGACCACGGCCGCACCACTGGGACAATTGTCCAGAGAGGGTCGCCTGTTGGGAGCTTTGGTGAGAAGAAAGGGGCAAACATATAACTTGACAGTGTCAGGGAGAAACTCTCGTGGAGAGAAGTCGTGTCACATTGAAGTCAGATGTCCAGAATGGAGTTTCAAGAATTTCAATTGACTGAGGGTCACGGGATTGCTGGGAATCTGTTTTCAAACCTTTTTTTCCAGCCCCTTTTTTGAGACAAGGGCTCATCCTATAGCCCAAGATGGTCTTGAGCTGAAGGCAGTCATGTTGCCTCAGCTTCCCAAAGTGCTAGGGATTACAGGCAGAGCCACCATACTTGGCTATCATCATTGCCTCTTGAGATAAACTCCAGGAGGTCCCGTGACCTGGGACTCAGGCTCCTAAGATCCCTGGGTCCCTTGATGCTTCCTCTATGTCTTTACACAACACTTAACTTAGTAGATAACATCCAGAAAGATGGAATGATAACCCTCGTTTGGGAAAATGTGCTACTTGGTGAACGGGTCCATACACACTTAGTGTGTACACTGAAGAAAGCGGGCCATGGTACCAAACTATCCTTTTCTTGTTTCCTATCAATCCATTTTGCTTCCAAAATGGAGCATTAGGAACTTCCCAGATGATCAGCCCTATCACAGTGTGGCATGTGTGTAAGGGTGGGCTGGGATGTTCAATCTATTAGCACTTTCAGATCCTGATTGGAGGACTCCAGAGTGTTTCTGTGCTAGCGGAGCCTCCCTCCGGCTTGTCAAAGGCTCCCTTCTAGCAGCTCCGCTGAGGGTGGGTAAGTGCCTGCTCCAGCCAAGGGTACAGAAGGGAAAGAATCCCAGAAGTCAGAGTCAAATCAACACCCCACCCCCAGTCTGAATGACCCTGAATGTTCCTGGCTGCACAGGGCCCCCAGTGCAGTCTCCCCACGGAAGCCCTAGGCTTGGTTCGCCCACCCCAGGGGGCTGCTACTTCTCTGAAGGCGTAGAGTGGACAGGGCTACTCTTTTCCAGTACCTTCATTAGAACTGCTTTGTGCTCAGGGTTCCGTGGTCCTAATCCAGGGGACAGCACAACACAGATTCAGCCAGTGGGATCTGTTTTTTGTTTGCTTGTTTGTTTTTCTCAAGGCTGTCTGCACTCTCTTGCTCCCTGCCTGGCCAGGCCTCCCTGGCCCAACACCAAGGCCTTTTCCTGGGAACTTTAATCTTCTAAGACCCTTATTCTTCCTTCTGGGACCTCTAGGTCCCTGTATGTCCAGACAGCTCCTGTCACGTGGAAGTGGAAGAGCTCTGAGGACTGGGGACACTCTACTCAGGGCTACAGAACCCTCCACTAGGCCAGCTGGCAGGTGGCTATTATAAGTAAAAGTTTTTACATGTCCAAGACAAAGCAAGGAAAGCAGAGAGAACAGTAAACAAACCATCTTCCACAGTGGCAAATGTTATGGTTATGGAGGCCCATCCCGGGTTAGGTTAGGCAGAGTCCTCATGGAAGCTATTAGCTATTAGCACAACAGCATGCGAGGGAGCAAGTTTAGAAACTTCCTTTAACCATGTGAAGATTCTGTACCAAGGCACCCTCTGTGCAAGAGAGTGCGCCCCTCACTGGGTTATGAAAGTCAGGGCCACAGACTTGCACTTCCCAGCCTCTGGAACCGTGAGAGAGTCATTTCTGTTGTTTATCTGATGTGGTGCTGGAACATTTCACATGCTGGACGTAGTGTCCCACTCGGCGACTTCTCCAGTCCAATCCCTGTTATTTCATTGTGTTTTGTGTGTATATGTGTGTGCGTGTCCACGTGCACGTATGCATGCATGCCACAGTGCGTATGTGTTTGTCAGAGGACACCTTGGAGTGGGTTTTCTCCTTGCACCATGTGGGTTCCAGGGATTGAACTCAGGTTGTCGGACCTGGCAGCAGGCACCTTTACCCTGTGAACCATCTCACCGGCTCTCTTGAGCTTTCTTTGGCTTTGTTTTATAGCTTCCTGTTACCTTTTTTTTTTCCCTTAAGTAATCACAGCTCCTCACCCCAAAAATAAACTCTTCTTGCTAACTTTATTATCCACACACCAGCTGTATACAGCACTACATGCTTGGTACGGGACAGCTACAGGCTCAGAACAACTGTGCACAGCAGGCATTGATAATGTACCCACTCTATACCTGGGGATAAGTGATTAAATGCAGCCAAGTTATATCCCTGGGAAGTAAGTGGGAGAGGCCAGATTTGCACTCCAGAAGTTCAGTCTGTGTATCCCTCCCTCTGTCCTTCTCCTACTTCCTTAAGAGACAAAAGTGTTTGTGACCACTGAAGAGGAAGGACATCCTGAACCCAGCTAACCACGCCCCCCCCCTTTTTTTTGTTTTTCAAGACAGGGTTTCTCTGTGTTATCTCTGCTGTCCTGGAACTCCAGGCTGGCCTCAACCTCACAGAGATCTGCTAGCCTTGGGGATTAAAGGTGTGGCCACCAACTCCTGACAGTTTGAACCTTTAACCTGAAAAGTCATTGTCCAACTATGTTCCCTTTCTTCCTTTTCCTCCCTCGCTTTCCTCCCTCTCTCCTACAAGTCTGTCTTATGCTTACGTTTGAACAAAGTTACCAGTTTTTCCCATGTTGCTCTTCACTCCTCATTCGGTCTCTCGGGCTCATTTTCTTCTGCTGCTGTCCCCTTTATTTGCTTCAGAGTGGTTCTGGCGGCGAGAAGCATCTGAAGTCTTTTATTTTCACAGTTAATAAGATGTTTCTCTAAACATTGCACGTTTTTTTTTTTTCCATTTCTTCTTGCACTTTCTGTTTTTCAGAGAAATTTGATGCTATGATTCTTCTTCTCACACCTTTGTGATTTCATTTAGGACTTTTCTTTCCTCATTTGATTTTTTTTGGGGGGGGGGATCATCCTCACAACAGTGTCTAGTACCGCATCATAATACAGCTAAGTGTTAATTTTACAAACATCCTGGTTGGTCTTTGCGGGGCCCTTTCTATACAGTAGATTTTTTGGGCGGGGGGCACCAACCAGCTCCCAAATCATGACACAGAGATTTATTATTAGCTATGAATGCTCGGCCTTATCTTTTGCTTGTCCCACAAGCTCTTATAACTTAATTTAACCGGTTTTTCTTCATCTACATTTTGCCTCAGGGCCTTTTGCCTTTCTTCCCTTCCATGTGTCCTGCTTTTCCTATTTGCTCAACTGGCTGACCCCAGGTATCTCCCTCTCTCTTTGGTTCTCTCTTCTCCTGAGCCCGGATTACTCCTCCTCCTAATTCACTTTGCCTGCCAGCCCCGCCAATCCCTCTACTGCCTAGCTATTGGCTGTTCAGCTCTTTATTAGATCAATCAGGTGTTTTAAAAAGATGCGAAAACCTGATGGGCCAGCCTGCCTCCATTTTAGGCTTGAAAGCCATTTTACAGTAAAAACAAGCTACATTCATTCATGTTTATGATTAAATCTCTATTTCTCAAGGATTGGACTATGAGCCAGCCTATTCCAGGAAACGGCAGCCATGCCTTTGTCTCAAAAAGTTATTATGACCACCTCGTTATGACCACACCGTTATGACCACCTTGCAGTCATGTCTTTGCTGTTATGACCACCTCGTTATGACCACACCGTTATGACCACCTTGCAGTCATGTCTTTGCTGTTATGACCACCTTGTTATGCTTCTGTTCTGCTTCTGTAAGTCTACTTGCCTGCCAAATTCCCCATTTGGAAACCCCCTACTCCTGAACTAAAAAGATAAACAAACAAAAATCTCTTATTTTTCCCATGTCCAATGCTGATCTCTTTTACCCCACCTTAGGGGGAGAAAGCTCTTGTACATGAATAAGAAAGCTTGCTTTAATTTGGCCATTATGATGTTTGGGTCGGTGGGATTAACGTTCCACCTTCCAGGTCACACCCATTCTCAGTGTGTTCTTCAGGTCACCCTAGTGAGTGCCTATTGTTCATTACTCACACGTGTGCTTCTCAGTGAGTAACATCCTTCCTGATTATAGGACATTCTAAAGTTCTAATCTTTTGTTTTGTTTTGTTTGTTTTTTTTTGAGACAGGGTTTCTCTGTTTAGTTCTGGCTGCCCTGGAAGTAGCTCTTGTAGACTAGGCTGGCCTCAAACTCAGAGATCTACCAGCCTCGTCCTCCCGAGTGCTGGGATTAAAGACATGGGCCACCACTATTGCTTAAAGTCCTGTTTTTGTCCTATAAGCAATTTTACAAAAGTTCTTTGGTGTGTTAGCATTTTTAATCTTGTCTTTATAAACACTGTCTTTCAGGAAGTAGAGGCAGGCCAATCTCTGTTGAGTTTGAAGTTGGCTTGGACTAGCTAATGAGTTCCAGTCCAGCCAGTGCTACATAATAAGACCCATTTCAAAATCAAAACAAAAACAAAAGGTTTTACTTTCTTTTCATAGTACTTGCTGGTTGGCAGCTTCTTTGATCCGAGGTTCTCTGCATCTTTGTCTTCTCTGTATGTGCCTTGGAGCATAGCTATGAGGCACTCTTGGATGTCTGCCACAGTTCGACAAAATTGTCTTGCAAGT